CAGGCTCATTTGTCTTTTCATTTAGAAGGCTGGCAATTCAAGCAATTTGCAGCGTTCAATTTGAATTCAGAACTCAAACTGGGGACTGCAGTATACACACAGCTCCAAGTGACTGCATTAAGTGTTCTGTGAATACAGAGGACAGTAACCTCAGGGATGTGCTAGCTTATGACATTTGGTAATGGTCCCCAATGCAAAGTTTTATTACCCTTATAAACTATACTAGATTTTTTTGAAGATTTTATATAAAAAAAATACAATCAGTTCTTTGTACAGCAATATACATTATTTAACTGTCACCTGCAAAGGAAAATAAATTGGGCTTTTGCATATTTCTTTTACTATTTTAAAATGTATAAATTTGAAAACCATAAAAGTCACTAGAAAGGTTTTCTAAAAAAACATTTTTTTCCTACAGGAATTGAGGACCCTGAAAAACTCTCATGACTGAAGGACTTGCATATTTTAAAACAGCAATTTATGCCTTGTATTCATTCTGCCCAGGAGGATAAAACGGCTGTTTAAATCTTCAACTGCTATTTCAGAGCCCATTTATTTGAATTCTGAGGTGGTCTTACTTTCAGCAATTTGTACTGTTAATCAAGAGTTCTTATAATACATTTTAGTTGAGTTTGCCATGGAGAATTTCTGTTCACACTGGCTTTTCAACACATTAATTTGATGTTTTACCCAGCTCTGAATATATCATAAAAACCTTTGCTCATTATCTGTCAAGTATGTTCATTAGTCATTTCTTATTTAAAATAAAAATACATTATTCTGAAACATTTGGTTATAGTTCCCTAGGAATAGAAATTCTTCTTACTGGCAACTTTCAGTAGCTCTGTGCTCAGAATGTTTTAAATACTTTCATAGCTTCATATAAGTTGCTCAAACCCAATCACTGCTTTTTCACATATAGTTTGATTTACTCAGAAAAAGCTTTTTGATTTCTTTTTATTAGTAATTTATGTATCATATCTAATAAACTTTCAGTTTTTCTAATATTAAAATGTCAGTGTTCTATTTATCATTTCCTAGGGGGGGAAACTAAGAGAAACTCCTCCTTCACAAATGTAGCAGGGATTTGTAGTTGATAGGGTACTTGTTTCTGAGCCTGAAAAGCATACCCTCTGTGAAACAGAGGTAACATTTTCCAGGTACTGTATCAGGGATTCAGGTCTACAGTCATAAACATAACAAGCCTATTATTTACCAATAATTCTTAATTCTCTTTTCCCATGTTATAGCAAGGAATAATGGACATTATAACTTAATCTACTACAAAGCAGGGAGGCAAAGCAATTCTGAGAGATATCTTGTGGGCCTCGGTCCCCTGCCCTCTCTATTAGATACTTCTGAAGCAGAAGAATAAAAAGAATATATAGAAAGGATGGAAAAAGCCATGCTCTTCCTCAAGGGGAATATGATGAGAGAACATAGGACTATGAGAAAAGGAATTTCTTGCAAGTAATACACCCCTCTTCTCCATCCTTCAGAGGGATAATAAGTAAAGCCCTGCAGGAATACAAAATGTATATCTGCAACTGCTCCACAAACGAATACTGTATTTGCAGATTTGCAGGGCTTTAATAATAAGCCAGTTGGCAAATGCAGCTAGCAGTGCCCACAGAGGAAGCTTACAGCTTCCACACCCACTGACCATACATACCAAAAGTGCACTTATAAATGTAGAGGTGCCTTACGTACCTAAGTACTAGATACTACTGTCCAAGAAAAACAGGGATGGGGGGAGAGGGGGTTAACCATTATGGAGATCCACAGAAAAAAAAGAAAATCAATGGAACATAGGAAACCCATAGGAACATAGGCAATCAGAGAGACTGTGGAGAGAATGAGAAGAGAATGAGGACAGGACAGGGTGAGAGGATATTGCCAGGTTTCTGCACAGAACTACTGCTTTAGACTAACAGCCTGCTGGCTTGTTTCCAAATGAGGAAATGGAACCTTCAAACCCTTTATCCCAGAGAACTGGCTTGGTGGTGAGTCATTGGTGGTGCTGTTCTAGAAATTCAAATTGAAGCAAAAGGACCTTTTCAGGCTCTAAGGGTGAAAGGATGACCCCAGGGGTCAGGCATCTTGAAGAAAATCTGTGGAGTAATGAAAGGTGGTCTAATTCCTTCACACACTGTTGAAGATAGTGACCTTAAACAGGTGATCTGCTGAGAACAAAAGAGAGGCCACACTGACTTCAGTATGGCTGTGTGATGATATGTGGGTGTTTAGAAGAGCAGAGAGATTTCTATCTGCAGGCTCAAACTCCGCCATAAAAGAAATGCAGCCTTTAAAACCCAGGATTACTTAGTGTGCAGATGGACAGTTAAAGGGATGACAAAAGGTTGGCTTTTTTTAAGGGGACACTTATGATTCTGGGACATGATGTGTTTGGTATTTGTGATGGTAAGGTACGGGCAAAGGGGTGAAGAAGTGCAGGGTATGTATGGTTACGAGGCCTAACTTTTGATTCCCTGGCTGTTGGTTTATGTTAGGCATGTTCTGTGTGTAGCAATCCTAACTGAAACACTCTCTGTTGTGAGATAAAATCTGACACCAAACTATAGCTCCTGAGAGAGAAGGTTTTATGGGCACCCAGGTCATATCCCGGTAAACAGGCCTTTCCAAAGCCAGTCAAGCACATTTGTGTCCACAGCATAAATCTTCAGTTATAATGTGAATTATCCAACATAAAAACCAAACAACTGTTTTACTGAAGCAGTTTTGTACAGATTCACCTCTCTATCCAGTGTGTGTACACAGATTTTTTTTTAAACAGACATGGGTCAATGATGAGAAGTAGGATTGTCGAGGCAAAATTCTACCTGAACCCAAATTCAAAGGATGCTTATTTAACGTCTATGAAAAGAAACAAAACAAAAACAACATAGAACATTCAAAGGGCAGAAAACCTACCCTGTGTGAAACTGGGACACATTGACTGGATACTTAGGAATGACAAAATAGGAATGATTGCCTCATTCTAAGCCCATTTTAGAATTCAACCCTAATTACAAAGTTACTCCACAATAAATACCACATCACATAGGTTTCACCACCAGTCAAGTCCTCTGCTCTGGGCACACAGGAATACCATCATTAACCATGAGGCTGCCAGCAGCAGTTGTGAACTTTAATCAAATGAATGAAACAGGTCAACTTTGGAAGCCAGCAGGGTAATGAAGTCAGAGAACATTTTTAAAAGGTAGGGATGCTTGCCACAGGATAACCATTTCAAATGCTCTCCTCTAGCTCTCTCCTGCTATAAACTGTGAAAGTGATAATTTGCTAATAACTTGTGCTAAATATTCCAAACTCCGGCCAATTATTGGCATACTTATATTTTTCTGGACAGGTTTGTCCTTAGTTTTATGTGACAGAGAGACTATTACATTTAAAACTTTTTGACCAATTATATATTAAGATGAATTCCAGCACTTGGAGGAGGAGATAGAGAGTGAAACAGGCTGGAAGGACAAAGATTCTTTCATGCCAATGTGCTCTTTTCCCAGCTATTTTCAGACTAGTTTCCACCATTTTCCACCTCCTACATAAGGGCTACACGGCCCACAGCCTGTCTGTTTGCAGCCCACAGTTATATTCCTGGACTATTGTGAAGCCAAAACAAAAAAGGAGTCAATATAGTGGTCTTCTGTTTATATGCATTTTAGTAGTTAAATTCCTGGCCTGTCACTGCCCATTAAAAGTGCTGTCATATGGGTGGAAATTAGATAAATATTGCATTTTATTAATCTCAGCAGAACTAATTTAAATGGAGCCTGCGTGTTGTGTCATCTTGCCTTAATTTTTGTGTTCTTGCCCATCAGTGTGAAATAAACTATTTGCATATATATTTGCATGTATATGCAACCACACTTAAGTTGCGGCCCTTGGCATGTGCTGTATCATTCTGGCCTTCCAGGGCTTCCAAAGTTGAGTAGCCCTATCCTACATCATCAAACAGCAGAAGTGTGTCATGGTTTTGGTCCTTTGTTTTATGAAGGATGCTGCAGCTCCAGCTTAACCCTCACGTCTCCCTAAAGCAGACAGAGAACATTGCACAGAGAAAAACAGAGAAGCTTCTTTTCTTAAGCAACTTATCCCTGCAGTTCTAGAAAATATTTAGGGATTATATTTAGGGAAATATTTAGTTTTCTAAATATTTAGCCTTCTAATATTTTAGGCTTCTTTTGGAAGAAGCTTTTTTCAGAAGAAATCTTCTGAAAAAACTTCTTCCGAAAGAGAGTGTCCACACTGCAAAAGTGCATCGAAAAAACAATCTGCTTTTTCGAAAGAGAGCATCCAGACTGAATAGATGTAATGCTGTGGTTGCTATGGATGGAATGGTTACCAGGGCACCTGAGCTTTTTCCTCTTTCCTCTTCTTCCAAAAGAACTCCCTCTTCCCCGTCCACACATGCCTTTTTGCAAAAGAGCTCTTTACCAATGCCAGAAAAACGCTTCTGTTCTTTTGATTTTCTTGCAGAAGAATGCAATTGCAGGGTGGACGTTCCTTAAGTTTTGTCGGAAAAACGACCGTTTTTCTGACAAAACTCTGTAGCGTAGACATACCCTCAGATAAATGAAGAGCATAGTGCTCCAATTTGCAGAAGCTGTTCAATAACTGCCAAAACCATACCTGTGGTCCAACCATCGGCCAAGAGACAAAACCCAAGAGTTCTCAGCTAAAAGCACAAGCCTCTTTTGCTTGAGCTAGAGTAAATGTCTGCAGCTGTAGCAGACTCATTCATCTCTTATGGACCAGCCAGTAGGACAGCACAAAACTCACGCTATAGCAATATGAGTTGTACTCAGATTTCATAGATGTAATTTGTGTTCACAGAAGAAAACATTCTGCAAATATTGTGGATTTGGGGGCCCAAATTGTTTGGTTTTCTTATTGAAATGTGTCCCTGCCTCAATTTGAGTGTGAAGGGTTTTAGGGAGATGGGGAAATATGCTAGAATTTGCCATTTTCCTGCTCACCTGGTAAGGCCTTTGCCCACTTCACCACATGCACCAGCTGTCTCTCCCCAAGCTCATTCAGGCTGGTCAGTAGGGCAGCAAAGGAGTCGGGTTGATTGTTGTCATGGCCTGCACACACCACAATAGGCTCAATGGCTTCCAGAACGTTGAGGAAAATGGGCTGACACTCAAACCCGTCTATGCACGTCATCACCATCTTGGGGGTTTGCTCCTCTGTTGGGCTGGATGAGTTGGCTCCCTCACCATCTTCTTGCATCTTCAGGTTGCCCAGTTTCTTCAGCTTGCGGGCTGTGGAGAATGACACAACTTGGCATGACATTAATACATAAACCAACCTTAAGGCTTCTTATACTTCCAGTCCCACCAACTACTATGAGAATGAAGCTGAAAGAGAATTGTGCCTTCACATTTAGTCTAGGCCCAGCTACAGCATGAAAAAATGTACAGGTACCAGGGTGATGTGAAAGAACAAGGATGGAGGTCTATTCTACAGAGAAATCCTTCAATTTATTAATTCATACACAGCAGGAGGTTACTTTCAGATCATTTATTTTGGAAGGATT